TACCCCATTTACCCTGATATGATTATTACTCACTGTACGCCTGTATCAAAACATCTCCTGTACACCCTAAATATATACCTCTACTATGTATCCACAAAAACTTAAAATTGTAAAAATAAAGTAAAATAAAATAAAATGCTCAGTAAGCTTCATATAAATGAAAGTTGAGTTCACTTAATGCTGGGCTCTTACCTATTGCAATAGCATATTACTGATTAAAGTCTGTTGTTTCCACCTTAAGTAGTGTCTGGCTTTGTTTATCTTTGACACTTCAAAGTCTGTTAGGCTGTGTGACTTGGGAACTTTACTTAACATCTCTGTGCCTCAGTTTCCTCACTTGTAAAATAGGAGATAAAAATAATACCCCCCCATAGGGTTGTTGTGAGCTCTGAATGAGTTAACATGTATAATGTACATAGAACAATAGGTGTTACCTTAAGTTAAATTAGGTTTAGCTTAAATCTGCCTCTTGGTAAATTTGGCCTAAAGGTTTCTCCATATATAATGATGTAACCTAACTGGGTGTGGAAACAGACTGTAACTTACTCTTGTAATGAGTAGCCAAGTCTCAGCCCATCAGAGAAGCCATACTTCAACCACTTGTAGGCGGCCACCTGTTCAAATCGTGTTCAAATAGGGCAAATGCATGGCTGTAACCAATCTGGCTGTTTCTGCCTGTCACTTCTGTTTTCTGTATCTCACTTTCCCTTTTCTGTCCATAGATCCTCTCTGACCACACAGAACTGCCAGAGTCACTCTGAACCTACTCTGGTTGAGGAACTGCCCGATTTGTGAATTGCTCAATTAAACTCTGTTAAAATTAATTCATCTAATGTTTTTCTTTAAACCCTAATTTTTTTGAGCTTTTGATTTTTTTTTTATTTTTTGTTATTATTATTATACTTTAAGTTCTAGGGTACATGTGCACAACTTGCAGTTAACCCTAATTTTTATTAGCACTGCAAGCTCTTTAATGCTAGTAAGATATAGCTATTGAAACAAGAAACATATATGTATGTATTTACGTATACACATACACACACATCTATATCATGTATAGCAGAGTCAACTGGATTAAAAAAATAAACTTTTCATTGGGCCAGTTATTGACAAACAACAGAGGTCCTTGATACGAGAGCTTCGGATATTGACTTGGAACAGGATTGATTGATATGTAGGACCATAAATGTAAATGTATTTTAGGCCAGAAAGTAAATACTATTTGAGCAGTAAGTTCTTTCATAAAATACATACCTGGAAATTGCAAAGGTCAGATTAAAATTTCAAACTGAACTAGATCGTCTGTGGGATTTGTGAAGTCTTGCCATGTCAATGACACCAAAGAGTGGCAGGTGGGGTAGTGGCGGTCAAATCTGTGCCTTTGACTGCCAGGTATCTCCCAGGGCCTAGCTCCAGGAGAGCTCATGGGATGCAAAACTTCTGGGGTGCCATGCTGCTCCCTTGCTGGTTGTGAAACCAAATGAGAAAGATAGAAGATCAAGTTTTCTACCCTTTGCCCAGTCTAGAGTGATTCATTTTTGGATTCACTTTCCTGGGAGGCAGAAATTGCAGTGAGCTGAGATCATGCCACTGCACTCCATTTTGGGCGACAGAGTGAGACTCTGTCTCAAAAAATAAATAAATAAAAATAAAAGAAATTACGACTCTAAGGGCGCACCCTCACAGGGCATTGTGTCATTTTTTGTCCTGCTTTATTTTCTGTTAGTTCTTAGGACTGTTAGACAGTCTTAGTCCAGGCTCCTTATATAATAAGAACCTAAGCAAGGTTATGTGCTAATGTTTTATTGGGGGGTGCTATCCCAGCGAAAAAGGGCAGGGAGGCAGCTAATGCGGGAACAGAGATACAAGATGAGGCATTGGGAAGCTGGCCACTGCTTCCCCAGAAGACATTGCTGGTGGCTCAGCTCCCGTCCATCTACTGGTTCCTTCCCATCTCTGTCTCTTATGGATCTACATTCCTTCTTCAGAGTGTTGACTCCTTGAACCTTCCTGTTGTGTTATGTGGTCCCTTGGGGCAGCAGCTAGGGAAGCCATTCTGGACTTGGGCACAGGAATTGCAGCAGCTCCTCAACCTGTGAGGAATTAGGAAGAAGTTGGGGTTTTACTACCAAGGGGACTGTGCAGGGGTAATTCCCGGCATAGGCCTGGAAGGCAGGTGGGGCCAAGTGGATCTGGGGTCTGCACAAACTGGGTCTAGGACCCTGATAATGTATATTTACTGGTTTATTATTTTCTCTCTCATTTGGAAGCATAGAGATTACTTGTTTTGCTCATTGTTCACTATATCCGTAATCATAAGAACAGTATTTGGCATATGCAAGGCATTCCATAAATATTTGTCAAATGAATTTATTGAGTTGCTACTGTGTCAGGAACTGTGATAGCTGCTAGAAGACACAAGAATTCTGCCTCCCAGATGGAAAAATTAAGAAGAGAAGGGACTCTCTTGGTGCTGTTCCAAATGGAAGCAGTTTCTCTATTTTCAGACATTTGGCCTTTAGTTTACAAAAGACAGTGTGTTTCAGAATATAAGTACTCTTGATTTGACTTTGCCTGTCCTTTTGTAAGAAATGGGCCTTTAAAAAGGGATTAAATTTACTCCTTTTGCCAGCATTTGGTCTCTCTGTGCTTAATTTTCCCGATTCAGAAGATAAGCATGGCACCATGATACCTAACAAATGGATGTGCAGAAGAATACACTCCCTGACTGCATGAGTGTGCTCAGGCTGCTGCAGCAGGCACCACAGACTAGGGGGCTTCCACAACAGGAATTTATTTTCCCTCAGTTCTGGGGGCCAGGAGTCCAGGGTCCAGGTGGCAGTTGGGTTGGTTTCTTATGAGGCCTCTCTCCTTGGCTTGTAGTTGGCCACCCTCTCCCTACATCTTCACATAGTTTTCCTTATGTCTGAGTCCTAACTTCCGCTTCTTATAAGGATACCAGTCATACTGGACCAGGGCCCAACTCCATCACCTTATTTTAATTTAATTATCTCTTTTTTTTTTTTTTTTTGAGACGGAGTCTCATTCTGTCACCCAAGTTGGAGTGCAATGGCCTGGTCTCAGCCCACTGCAACCTCTACTTCCTGGGTTCAAGCGATTCTCCTGCCTCAGCCTCCTGAGTAGCTGGGACTACAGGTGCCTGCCACTGCACCTGGCTAATTTTTGTATTTTTAGTAGAGACAGGGTTTCACTATGTTGGCCATGCTGGTCTCGAACTCCTGACCTTGTGATCTGCCTGCCTCAGCCTCCCAAAGTACTGGGATTACAGGCATGAGCCACCATGCCCGGCCTTTAATTATCTCTTTAAAGGCTCTATTTCTAAGCACAACTACAGTCTCAGATATTGGGGGTTAAGATTTCAATATATGAATTTTGGGGGGACAGGGGCTATTGGGGGTGGAAGATGATACATTTCAGTTCATAGCACTAACTCTAAAGAACTTGATTTTACAAAATGGTGATGTCCAGGCCCACTCCCTGCTGTCTCTTGCCTTCTGTGACTGCCTCCTTTTGCTCTTCTCCTTGGCCCCAGACCAAAACCAGCAAGGCAGTCAGAACAGGTCACAGAGGAATCCAGAAATCCAAGAAGAGGGTTTTGTACCAAGCAAATAAAAGAAACTATCATCCCTCTGAGGTTCCTTGTTTAAATTACCATGTTTATTTACATCAACACAAAATACAATAATAAACACGACAAAACCATTTTATCTTCAGGTAACATAACTCTTCAGTGAACAGAAGTACTACTGTTAATGTTTTGGCCTTTCCAAGGTCCCGCCTGGGGTCAAAACAGTTTTCAGAGAAAGAGCAGATTCTTCTCTACCTTCCCTAAAACACACACAAAGGTAACTTCTATTTTCTAAAATCCCATTCCAGTAATAATAAAAAAAATACAACAGTAAGTCCATGTAGAGGAGAGGATTGCTGTTGTGTCATCAGCGTTGCAACCTGTATGTTGCTGTAGATTTCCCCCAGGTTCTGTGCATCAGTCAGGAACATAAAGGGTATATTAGTCCTTTGGATTTTCAAGGTGATTGTTCAGTAATTCTTTCATCTAGCCATGTACTCCGTAAAGGTCTGATTTACCTGAGTTATTTAAAAACCAGCAAAAAAAGAGTCTCCAAGTGATCGAATGTATATGGATCTATCTTGTAGAATTGAAGAAACTTATAGATTTTGCTGTGACAATTCAATGGACAACCACGAAGCCTCCACTACATAATGAACTATTCACCTAGTAAAAGCTTCACATTACAATTTAATCAAAGGTCATAAACATTGCGCAAAAGTACAATATCTCATCTGTATGCCAGTAGTTTAAATGCTATTTGCTTAGTCTCAAATACATTTTCAAACAAATGACAGTTATCGCTTAACTAACACAATCTTTCTATTATTTCACTGACAAAAGAGGCAGTTTCCTGCAGTGGAAAGAGAAGATGGCTTGGAGTTAGAAGATCTAGATTCTGAACCCAGCTCTACTCACTCTGAGCCTTAGTTTCCTTATGAGGATCAAGTGAGATGAAAGTGCTTTGTAAAGGAGTAATAACCATAAGAAATAATATTCTAGAGTCCATCTCTTCCATCAGCTGATGGATCCCTAATTTGCACATGTATTTTGCAAGTAAAATCTTACCTCTTAAAGTAAATGTATGATGCATATTCACCACATGCAGCTGAAATGTGCAAGTTGGGTTACACAGATGGGAAAAGAGTATGCATTAAAAAGCCTTTAAGACTTGTATACTTTTGATGTACTTGATTTAGAGCCATTTAAAATTTTATTGTGTTTGTGGCTCACGCCTGTAATCCCAGCACTTTGGGAGGCCGAGGCGGGCGGATCACAAGGTCAGGAGATCGAGACCACGGTGAAACCCTGTCTCTACTAAAAATACAAAAAATTAGCCTGGTGCGGTGGCGGGCGCCTGTAGTCCCAGCGACTCAGGAGGCTGAGGCAGGAGAATGGCTGATCCCGGGAGGCGGAGCTTGCAGTGAGCCGAGATCGCGCCACTGCACTCCAGCCGGGAGACAGAGAGAGACTCCGTCTCAAAAAAAAAAAAAAAATTTTTTTTATTGTGTTTAACACAGGTTCCTTTTATATTATAGGAGTGCTCTTTGAATAAGCTAACCATTTAAAGTATTTATTTTTTTTAAAGAAACTTTTGTGTGACAATTACAGGGTTTAAAAGACTGTGCAACTGAGTGAAGTGGATTGAGAAATATGGGGGAAGTAACAGTTTGAAAACTCAGGGTCAAAAAGGAAACTGAGTGTAGAATATCGTTTTTCAGGTAATTTAAAAATAAGTTAAATGATAGGGTTGTTATCTTTTTATTTTTATAGGTGACTTCTTAATTTATAAATTACTTATTCCTCATTTGTAAAACAAATAAAATGTTTGTGTACTTAACGTTTAGGTGTGTATAAATTCACAAAAATTATTAACACTTAATGTTCAATCTTATATTTGGGGTATCTTCAGAAGAATTGCAACTTCTTAGCTGAAGTAAAATCAGAATGTCATTTCTCAGAGATTTCAAAAAATTATCCTTCAAGAGAGGGCATATTTCCTACAAGTTTAGAATTAATTGGCAAGTATAGATATACAATGTGAGTGTATGGGCTTTGTGACTTTGCTGAGACAAAGAACTCAGGTAGCTGCATTCCTGAAACAAATGAGCTTCTAATTTCAACCATTTTTCAAATGCAAATCAGGCCCCCATGAATCATTTTGATGATTTTTTTGAAGCATTAATGCAACAGAGTTAGTATTCCTCAAATGATCCCCAAAGTCACCTCTTTGCTAAGGATATTTCTCTTCTTGATTATTTGGAATCTGCCAACAGTCTGTCACCTTCATGTAGAGGATAACTTATCTACAAACGTCCTATTATTGTCTTAAACCAACCTCATTTTGAAGCAACAAAGAGAAAAAAATTATATAGTGCATTAACATTTCATACCAGTGAAACAGACTTTTTTCATGCATAAAGTAGTTCTATCCATCTGTGGAAAGGTCCACCTTTTGTTTTTCCCTGTGTTTATAAGTTACATTTTTAAAAGTACTCGTGGAGCCTCTGTAGAGTGGATTGGTTCCCTGAAAAAAAAAAAAAGATTCAAGTGAAAATATGTACATTTTGTTATTATACTGTTTTAATACATAGTGCAAATGGAAGAGCAGAGTCAAGCTCAATCTTGGAAACTATTAGAACGATTTTGATTAATTTGGTATTTCATACATTTAGTGTTTTGCAATTTATACATTTTCATTTTGTTAAATATACAGAACATGTCCCATATGAATATTCTAAAAATCTTACCTCTTTTGGTAAAGCACAAATTTACAGATAGAAAACAAGGCTTCAGCTATTGTGCTCACTGCTGTTTTCCCAGCACTGAGTCCCTGGCCCAGAGCAGGTGCTTAGTATGTATGGAATGAGTGGCGCGAACAGTGATAGATGAACCAAAAGTGAAATCAAAGCCAAAAAAGTAAAAAACAGGAAAAGCGAAACTGGTAGAAACATAAAGAAATGAACCACACAGTATTTGCCTTTAACAAACGTGTTACTGATGAGAAGCATCTAACAAGGGCACAAATAAACATGCTGAGATCAGATCAGATCAAAACTCTGGGTAGCCAAAGAACCAGCTGTCTTTTGCTTACTATGTAAAACAGTGTGTAAGACAACCACAAGAGACTGTTATGGAGGACCCTGGGGTCATGAAAGAGTGGCAATCCAAAGGCAGGCCAGGAAAAATGGCTTTGCCTTGGGGGCAGTGGGGAGGTTGGGTGTGGGACTTCTGGGTAGCTCAGCTGTGCTGCTTGGGCTGTAGATGTGCCTCCAGGTGCCAATAGCAGTGGTGCTGTGGCCAAAAGGACCAGAAGGTCCAGAAGGATCAAGCCTCTTTAGTTGTTCCAGGCGGGAGGAAGGTGTCTGGGTAAGGTACAGTTTCTTCTCTCCCACTTTCCAAGGCTGACCACACAGGCTATGGCAACAGACAGTCTGGGTCCAAAGCCAGCTCCACCACATGACCGTACTGAAGCCACTCTGAGCCTTGGTGTCCATATCTGTGCCTACCTTATCCAGGTGAAGTATTTTAGCACTGTGTGTAGCAGATAGCAAATGCTCCATAAATGCTGCCTCTTCTCATTAGTTCCTGTTTATAGCTTTTCTTCACATTTGGAATTTCCTTTTCTTTTAGGTTTTACAGAGGATTATTAAGATATTTTCCCCCAGGGCTTTGGTACACTTAACATTTCTAAGCCCATTACTGAGTATGTATGGAATCCAGGTACTGCCTCTGACCTTCTAAGTTAAAATCTTACACTTTGATCACCTCATTCCATGAATTATATCTATGGTAACAATTTCTAGGGGTGGATTTGAAAAAGAACATGATTGTCTTTGCTTGCTCAGTACATTTCTTTCAGCTCTTAGAAGAACGGAATAAGACTGGAAACACTCCCTGGTCTTTCACACTCACTGGCCTCAGTGCCCTCATTGTGAGTGGGAATCACAGCTGCATCCACTTCTGTGTTGTCCAGAGCCAGTGGCCTGACCTCTGGTCAGTGGCATGTTACCTTTGCTATGTGCCTTTAAAGAGATACGCTATTTCTATCATAAAGCCAAACAGAAAAGAGGTTTCTTGGCTGATGGTGGATGATGGGTGAAAGCTAAGTTGGTATCGTGCTTCTATTCCTGAGAGCAGCCTGGTTAATTCTGAGGGACCTCTAGATCTTATCTAGTCCTGCTGCCCTAAGAATTTGAGATTTTGAAGGCAAAGGGCAGACTGATGTGAATTTAGATGTAGATGGAGTCTCATTTGCAAACAAAAATCATGCATGGAATTCTATTAAATTTGAGAGACTAGAATCTAGTTGGTTACAGGAGAATGAGGGACTCAATTGAAGAAGCAAGATGGAAAAAAGTAAGAGGTTTAGGCCAGCAATGACAGGGGAAGCCTGTCCTGGAGGAAGTTCTCGCTTCCTCCAGGAAGCTCCCACCTTTGTGAACAGAAAAGACACTTGGAAAGAGGACACAGGTTGTGAGCAGGGCCAGCTTAGAGCTCTGTAGCACCAGGTACTTGTTTGTAGATGCACCCTATATCATGTCAAACATATTACAATACACCCATATCCCACACTTGAGTGTGACTTGAGTTGCAACTGACAAGATAACACAATGTTATTTAGTAGATATTTAGTTGAATGTTTAATTTTTATGGCAGAATTTTCATTCTGTATTTTAAAGCAACTTCTGTATTTTAAAGCAACATTCTGCATTTTAAAGCAACTTCATTCATTCAGGTCTGCAATATTTTGGGAGTCCCTTGCAAAACTGGTTTAGGGCCAAGACATTGCTTATAGGGAGTGATGGGTAAAGCAGACTTCACCAGAGTAAAAGGGTAAGGTTGGAAGTGTAAAAGTGGATGAAGAGCAAGTACATATTGCTGTTGTGTGTGGTAGGGTATTTTCTGGCCTTAGCTGAAGATCAGAGGTCAGGATAATGCACTCACGTTGGGTTTGGTTCCAGGAGGAGGTGTGGAAATGTCCACACTGCCTCCTGTAGTGCTCTTCTGACTGTAACCTCTCTACGCAGACTTTCCAGGAGAAATGCAGGCTTGAGTCCTGCTCTATTTCAGGTGAGTGTGCAATCCACTGCTCAGAAAAGGTCAGTTTTCCCCTAACCATCTGGGGTGATCAGGCTGATTCCCCCAGGAGTCTGGGAGTGCTAATTTAGGCTTGGATTTTGCAAATGCAATGGCACATTTTTCAAGATTGAAAAAGTGGTAATAGGAAAACTCTGTCATGACCCACAGCTTCCTTAATGATCGACCAACTGCCAAACGCAGACCTGATTTGCTTAGCACAGTAGAAAATCAATCCATGACTGTAAGAAATGTCAGGCTGAACATTTTTTTTTTTGCCTCAAGTTAATGACTTGTCATCCTAGAAAAAAAAAAATGTCTAATCAAAGATGAATTTAAATATGTTTCATTTGTGTTTTCATAAAGAATATGTGGGGGTGGGCATTATTTTTAAAAGCATGATAAAAAGATAACCTTTCTTTACAGCTGCTCTGAAATGTTTTAGGAGGTAGGAGTGGAGATCTTTCTGTCTTAAGCCCTGCCACTTTATGAGTCCAATGCAGTCCTATGGCCAGGAGGACTGACTGTCCCGATTGTCCCTGGAGGGCACTGGGTTTCGAAGACCAGTCAAATTCACTTCTTCAAGAAGAAATAGGTTTTAGAGAAAACACTCAATTAAATCGAAAACCTCTAAACGTGTGCAGTGAGCGACATTTTTTTCCAGTAGGATGTTAGTGAAATTTAAACTGAATTATTTGAGTTAAACCTTTTTTGCATCCAAGTGAATAATTACTATCCAGTCATTATCTAGTCAGGAACATCAAACATTTGTTATTCAAAGAAACTCAGTTTAATAAGGGAATAATATTTTCCACTTACGCTTTTTTTTTTCTGTTTAATGCATGTTTGGGTCACATGTTAGATGAAGAAACAGCAAAAATTCAGTATTTGAATTTCAGTCATGTTCTACATCCTGAGGGAGAACGATTCATGTTTTTGGGGAAATTAACTGTTAATTAAAATGTTATTTTAAAGATATTAATCACTTGTCAGTATTTATGCCTCTGTATGAGAACATTGAAATGTGCTGGTTAGTAGATACACATCACGTAATTGCCCAAGTGCGTGTTTGTGGAACACCTGCTTATTATTTCTAGGAGGGTCAACCAAAGGCTGTGCTTAGAAGAACAATGAATAATTAGGCTTCAGCTTAACTATGCACCAAAAGTTAGGGAAGTCCCTTAACTTCTCTGAGCCTCAGTTTAGCTCTTCAAAATGGAAATACCAGGATTATGTCATGGGGCTTGCTGCTATTGTCCTTTGTAGCAACTTAACCACATTCTTTTACCAGGTTGCCCTTCTAACCATCATAAGGCATTTGTTGGAGAGTTGATAAAAATCAAAAATAAACATCTGTGGCCAGGGGTCAGGTGAAGTGAACTGTCCTACAATTTTGGGCTTATTAGTACTGTGTTCTAAGTCACCAAGCTAACCTGTTTACCTTTATGTTGTTAGGAATGAGTAAATTATATCTTCTCCTGAGGAATTTTGCTTAATTATGGAAAACACATACTTTCACAAAAAGAGGAAAGCTATATAACAAACCTCCAAAGACCTATCACTCAGACTCAACAGTTATCACAATTCTGCCACACCTGCTTCAACTATCCCTCCATCCCACTCTCTTGGCTGAATTATTTCAAAGCGAACCCCAGCTTGCATCTCCTTTCACTCCTTCAGTATGCATCTCTAAAAAATATGGATATTTTCTAGCAATGTCACCATGCCATTATCATACCTAATCAAATTATGCTTACTTGCTATCATTCTAATACCCAGCATGTATTAATCTTTTTTCAGTCGTTTCATGTATTTATTATTTATTTTGGAGACTGGGTCTCACTCTGTCACCCAGGCTGGAATGCAATGGCATGATCGTGGCTCACTGCAGACTCGACCTCATGGCTCAAGTGATCCTCCTGCCTTAACCTCCCAAGTAGCTGGGACTACAGGTGTGCACCACCATGCCTGGCTAATGTTTGTATTTCTTTTTGTAGGGACAGGGTTTTGCCGTGTTGCCCAACTCGAACTCCTGAGCTCAAGTGATCCAATTCTCCTGTCCTGGCCTCCCAAAGTTCTAAGATTACAAGTGTGAGTCACCATGCCTAGCCTTTTTCCAGTTGTTTTAAAAAAGTATTTTTACAGGAGGACTGTTCAAATCATGATCCAAACAAGATCCATATATTGCAGTTGGCTGTTGTATCTAGCACATTTTTAATGGGAAGATAAAGTAGATAAAAATTTTCACTGTTGATTGCCCTGTACCACATATTATGATTAATTTAGAATAACTGCATACAACATAAACATCCCTTATCAAGATAAATTTATCAAAAATGGAAAATTCCATTTGCTTTAGGAATTGAAGGCATTGCTATAAAAATTGTTAACATCAAATTATTTGCGTGGACAAATCCAAAGGAGCACTGTGTCTGCCTGCATTTTCTCCAGTGATATCATTGTTGTTAGAATCAGCAATGTAAGATCATTGCTGTTAGATACCTGGACACACCATTAGAGGTAGAGAGATGAAATTAAAACCATGAAATTGTTTCTATGGATCTCTAGAAATGTAATTATCTCTCCTGTGGAAAAGAAACACAGAAAACTATAGTCCTGCCTTCTGCTTGCCTCTTGTGAAGAGAAGGCACTTAAATTATTCCTATTGAGTTTATGTATTTAAAGGTTAATACTTTTGGGCTTTTCTTCAAGTCTCCGTTTAAAATTTATGTTATTAAGAAAAAATAACTGCATGGCATTTAAAAAATCATCTCAATTTTGCTTTGTAACCGATTAGATCAGTAACAAGTATTTCCATAAAAATTGGCATGAATTATCATACTACTTATGAACATTATTCCATTCATTATAACATAACCAATTTATGGAAATGTTTAGATACAGCACCCGTGCTTTATCAAATGGGGCCTGAGGGATAATTCCTAGTGGTGAGGAAGCACTGGTAAAAATATACTTCCCTGATGTCCCTAAGCAGCTGTCTCAGGAGCCTCATGAGACTCTTCATCGTGGTGGAAATCCCCACCGCACTGAGACAAATCTATGCTATGAGGGTCATCTGGGTCCAGATAGTGGATAGAGGTTCCTTTGCCCCCGAAGCAGAACAGAAATCAAAGCTGTTGGGGTCATGGCAAGAGTGGGAGAGAAAAAATGTGACACTTGAACTCTCAGAGCAGAAGAAAGCTGAGCCCCTCAGTCTCTTCCACCAGCCTCTTTCTCCCCTAGACAAGGAGTAGCCCTAAGTTTCCACATACCGTTTGCCACTTGGCTTTTGATCGTTCTGCTTCAAATTTGGCAACTTCTTTACGATCATGAAATGATACCAGCAGCTTCCAGATGCACAGCAGGACAACCCCGATGAGAAGAATAGCCAGGGAAACCCCCAACATGATCATGGGAATGTTTGGAGGCTTTGGACAATCTGCAGAAATAAAGAAAATTATAAGAAGGTGGTAAAATCAACATTTTGACATTGGAAAGGCATTTCTTGTTGGATTTTCCATCTACTTTTTCTGCAGCAGAGGATAAATATTGACACCATTTTTGCTTTGCTTAAATTTTAAAAATGAGTTACTTGTTGAAGGATAGCCCTGCATTCCTTCAAAGTAGAACAAAAGATAAAGGAAGAATTTAGTTATTCAAAGTAAATGTATGTAGATTTGACGGCTGACTCTAAAAGAGAATCCAAAAAAGTGATAATTAATGCACATAGAATATGTACAGGATTAAGAAAAAAGACTAGTTTAATCACTAAAAATGGTCTCTTCTGAGTCCATGATAAAGTAGAAATGGAGTGTGTATGTGTGTGTGCGTGTGTGTGTGTGTGTGTGTGTGTGCTGCATGCGATCAGTTTTTTATGGACCTTCTTGAATCATGGGGATTCTAGAAGACTACATTAAAATTTATATAAAACCTATCCCTTGAAAAAGTTACTATTTCCTTCTTTCTTTATAGACAGAAGACAATGATGGGTTTCAGTTCTATTTTGTTGAACCCTAATGCAGTAGTCTGGTTTTGGGGGAAGTTCCTGGACTAGATTCAGGAGAGGCGGATTCAGTTCCTATCTGATGTACAGTAGCTGTGTGAATGTGATCCAGTCCGTTGACCTCTCTGAGCCCCAGGTCCTTCACCTGTAAAACAAAGTTCAATGTTCCCTTAACTTTTCTGATGATAACAATAAGCTGAAGTGTTCTTGCTTACTAACACGGCTTCCTAGACCCTTTCCCCAATATTCTGATTCAGTGGGTCTTGGATAAGGCCACCGATTTTGTATTATTAAATATTCTAAATGATTCTTATTTTCAAGCAAGTTTGGGAAATTAGATGTTCTGTAAGGTCCTTTCAACTTGAATATTCTCTGAAATGTTATTTTGACTCTATTGATGATATTAATGTAATTTTCCCATTATACAGTACCTTTCCTAATTCACAGCAGAATGACTAATAGTCCTTGCAATATGCCTAGGAGATGATACATTTCTTAATGAAACATGATAATTATGCTCTCCTCTTACTTTCATGGAAAAAAATCCCACATAACATTATTGCTAGATATCTGCATCCCTCTGCAAGAAATGAGGCAAAATCCATGGTATCTGAGGAGGAGATGAACGATGCTTAGCTTATCCTAAGTCTTACTGCTTTTAGAGATCTAATTAGGAGAGTTAAACACATATGACTAGTCCTGCTGTCTTTAAGGTAAGGATCTGGAGTCGATATGAATCTGAGTAGGACTAGTTACCCACTAACAGCATGATGCCTGGCCTCACACACTTTTGTTCTTTGGCCAAGAAACCATGTAAAGAGATTATGCAGAAATAAGAAAAGGAGCTAATGACATACCTATTACTGTATGAAGATCTAAAGACTATATTCTCACATAGCAAATGAACCATAGCTGCCTCTAATAGGTTAGCACATTCCTGCAAATAAAGCAGCAGACTTGTGTCATGAGAATATATACTGGCTACATCTTTGGCTAAGAAATGCCTGGGGTGGGGCATAGTATGCTCCTGCTCAAAGCAAGATGAAGCTTGCTACAATCCTGCACCTAGACATGAATTAGGAGGGTTCTCCAGAAGAGACTAAAGAAGAAATGGGTGCGGTCTGACAGAGATCATTAAGAACTGAAAGTCTCAGAAATTGTACATTTCTCAATTAAAGATTTTGGTCCAAGTGCCAGAGCAGGTCTTACACAATAGAGATCTTCACTTTTCATACTCAGATGTTTCTTGAGATGCTCAGACTGCAAATGGATTTCTACATGGAAGAAGAGGGTCACCTCTATCACTGTGTGCAATGTGGCCTATCGAGTCGAGGTCGGTGCAGCACCTACTTCTAACGTCCTGGGTATCTAACTCTGCTACATGCGTTGTGCAATCTGGTAGCTCAATGTGCCTATTGAGTGCTTGAAATGTGAGTTTTCCCAAGTAACTTATGCTGTAAGGGTGAAATAAACATTGATTTTGAACACTTAGTATGAAAAAAATATAAAAAATCTCAGCTTTTATATTGATTACACGATGAAATGACAATATTTTCGATAACATGGTAAATAAAATTCATTTTACCTGTTTCTTTGACTTTTTAATGTAATTACTAGAAAATTTTAAATTACATACAGGGTTTGCCTACCAGTTCTGTTGGATGATGCTGATCTAACATCCTTTTGTGATTCAGATATGTATGATGATTGTATAGCCAGTAGGAGGCAGTAGAGCACAGTGGTTCAGAGCACGGGCTCCAGGCCAGGCTGCCAGAGCTCCTCCACCAGCTCTGGCACGTAATTACTGCCAGACCTAGCAAATTATTTAATGTCTCTATGCCTCAATTTCCTTACCTTTAAAATGAAAATAATAGTGGTACCTGTTTTATATGGTTAAGAATATTAAGCGAATTATGTAAAATATATAGAACATCTGGCAAATGGTATTAGTAAGGGCTCAAAAAATAAGAGCTGCTATAATAATTAATATTACTATTGTTACAGCAAATACAGCACTCTTTCCCCTTTTCTATTCTCATCACCTCAAGGACCTGGAGCCTCTAAGTTGGAACCTGTGGGTATAGCATCTACCCTAGCTGGTACTATCCAGCCAGGAAGCCTTCCCGCCTATCATTCCTTGACTCTGTTGTGGCTCTTATGCTCTGGAAGTCCCTCCAGATGGTGGGGGCAAGAAAGAAGATGAAAGAAATCACCTGTGTCTACAAGCACCTGGTGGTGACCCTTCACTCAGCTCTTTTTTTTTCAATTTGCTTAGAGGATCCTGGGGATCAGCCCCTTTCTCTCTTCACAGTTCTCAGTTTGCCTCTTCTACCGAAGCCTCCACCAGGCCACCCTGGGATTTTCTACTCTGAAAGCTGTGAGATGGGAGACAGGAGGGACTATGGACTTTTGGGGACAGGTTCTGCTCTGCTGGCCCCTGGAAGCGCCAGGCCTACCCAACCATGTGGACATTTGTTGAGGAAGAGGGAGCCTGGAAGCTGTCAGGTGACTCTTGTTAAGCCTCAGGGAGGTAATTTTTCCCCTCACTTTTCCCTACTACAAAAGCATGGGGATAATAACATGCCATAGTAAAAAGCATCAGGGCATCTGTGCGTGCTCTGCAGAGTGGCATGTTGCGGTGCCACTCGTATTGTATGGAAGAATAAAGGAACAGACAACAGCTCAGTACTGAGGAGGCATTTAGCCCAAGGCATGTTTCACCGAAAAAAAAATCACCAACTAGATACAAAAGTCTCTGAATTAAAAGCAGGACTTATTCTGGAAATTTGTTTTTGTTGTTTGAAACTCGTTTTTTTCAATAGAATCAATACGATAAGGGATGGCTTTGATTTCAAGATAACTTGCTAAAGCCACTGCCACAGTCACAGAGGGTTGGGAGTGTAGTTGGAGAATTTTATTTTATAAGACAGATAATGAGCAGGCAGGCTTTTTTTGGTATTATAAAGTAATTCTTCCTTGTACGGCAGGATTCTCCTTATATTTCCCTAATGAATGGCCATAAGACTCATTTTATGTATGCATTTCAAAGGAGTTGATTTACATGAGAGCTTCCAGAGCAAGTCTCCAGGGGCACTCAGCATACCTGAGCTTCAAGGCCAAGTTCACAATCATCTTCAGATTCCTTGGATTGTGCCAACCTCTATCTCTCCCTTGCCCTCAGCAACTGCAATGTGACCTTTTTCTGATCATGTTTTCTTGATTGGGATATAATTGTCTTGAACCTACTTTTTGGTTCCCTTGACATTGCTGTGGTTTTTATGTTCTACAGTGATGCCAATTTGATACTTTTGGTTTCAAATTCAGGACTTAATATTTTATCAGCATACCAATAAGCAAGCAGGTACAACAAAACACACCTATCTGCCTTATGGCCTGGCCCTGTCGCTGTTGTCTGGGGCAGAACTTAGGCTCCAAGCTTTTGCAGGGAGGAGGAGGTTGCAAACAAGGTCTGATGAGGTCTGATTTAATGTAGCTGTCATATCTGCAGGAATGGTTTAGGGAGGAACACATCACTGATTAAAGACAGAAAATATGAGGCACCTGTGAGTGCCTCGTATTTACCTGTGAGTAAATGAGAATGCAGTCCGTGTTAGGGCTGTCGCTCACAGGGAGATCTTGGGACCATTTGTATCAGGCTTGCCAGGGTAGTTGTTAAAATGCAGAGCCCTGGGCCACACATCAGATGGTGTTGACTCAGGATATAGGCATTTTTAACAAGTTCCCCAACGAAGTCTGATACCCACTAACATTTGAATCCCTCTCAATCAAAGTATGAATACCTTCTCACCTACTTTCTTCTCTACTAAATATAAACTTCTCTCTCCCCTTCACTGAATGCAAAATGTTTAAGGTTTTCCCAAGTCCAGAACTGACTCTATGAGTTGGTGTGGATGAAAATCCACAGGAGCAATGGACACCTTGACATCCTTCCTCATCTGCTGCTTAATGTCTTTTCTGATTCAGCATCATCATTTGATGACCCATTATCGAGAGTTAGATATTGCCACTATTTTATGTGCATTATTCCACTTAATCCTTGAGTCAACACTTAGAAAAAGTACTATTATCTGTTCCATTTTACAGATGAGGAAATAGAGACTCAGAGATTCAAGTGTCTTCCAGAATGTCACTCAGCTATTAAATAATGGAGAAGGATTTGAACCAAGGTTTGCCTGATTCACACTCTTTTAAAAAAAATGGACACACTCCTCTCTGTTACCATTTCCTAAGGATAGACCTTTTGCTTACATTTCATTTAATTCACTTACCTTTCTATAATTCATCAGTCAGCTTTCAGGAAGATGATGACTGCTGCAACTCCAAGTCATCTTATCTGGTTTTTTATTTAGGCAGAGTCTCACTCTGTGCAGTGGCGCGATCTCGGCTCACTGCAACCTACACCTACCGGGCTCAAGCAGTTCTTCTGCCTCAGCCTCCCAAGTAGCTGGGATTATAGGTGCAGACCACCACGCCCAGCTAATTTTTGTATTCTTAGTAGAGACAGGGTTTCATCATGTTGGCCAGGTTCGTCTCCAACTCCTGACCTCAAGTGAACTGCCCACCTCAGCCTCCCAAAGTGCTGGGATTACAGGTGTGAGCCACTGTGTCTGACCCTTATCTGGTCTTAATAAGAGACACTGGAACATACTGAATCTTCTAACTGGCATCTTTCAATCCTTGGGAAACTTTAAGAAACTTCATCAAAAATTTGGAAATGTCTTTCCTGGTTTGCTACCCAGAGCTATTTTCTGGTTGCTTTCTCTTCTCCTGTGTAGTGTCATTTGCCATGGGCAATGGAAAGGAAACCACTCACCTTTTTCACTGATGCTGTGAATGATGCTTTTCCCCTCATTATCTGTAGTTATCAGGAATGTAATAAGACATTCATTTTCTCCTTGCAGAGAGCAGGAAACAGAACCATCCTTTGAGAAATCTGTAAATAAAGGAGTCATTCATTAGGTTAAAAAGATTCCAAAAGAGATTATTTTTAAAACAAAGTGGTATTGAGTTTTAATATGTAAATTAGAGTTTTCAATAGTGCAGAATGAGAATAGGAAAGGCACAGGGTTTTTTTTTTTCTCCTGAAGTGAGGTTTTAGTTTTTACTCACGTTCCAGAAGAACAGTTCCAGATGTGGTCAATCAGGACTGACCATCAAATGCACCTATCAAACGGATATGGGCAGGATTGCCACAGGCTGAACGTACTTCAAGGCAGGTACCCACAGCTGCCTTGGGAATAGAATGGCCCTGATTATGGTAATGAGGGGGCTATAGGTTCTTCTTTGCTGGGAGCATGAAGGATGTCTAGATTACATTTCTGCACAGTTCAAGCTGATACTGATAGTTTTAAAGGGGCCTTTCTCACAATGGCATAGTCAAGATGCTGGCCATGTATTGTGGAACAGTAACATAAATTAATATCAGGAAACTGAAACTGAAGCGTTATGTAGCTCAGGGACCAGAAGGATAAAGGTAAATGAATCCACAGTGACAGTTTGTCTATCATTCAGTAGAGCTCCCTTCTTAATTTGAAAAAAAAAAAATCCAGTTTCCCTCAAATATTTTTCAAGTGGGAATTCTTCCTTATTGAGCTCATTCAAGAGGCAGAAAGTGAATGTCATGACAGAAATTAAAAGTAAAGTAAAATGGCCAGAGATGCCAGTACTATCTACCAGAAATTTTAGTAGTCCAGGACCTATGCCAAAATGATGTGGCATTCTCCTGATGAAGAAAACCAAACAAATTTGCTTAACTGTTCTCCTATCTTTTAAGTTGGAGACTTTTCAATGATGGTTACAAACACTGTTTTTCAGAAACCTGTACGTAGAAGTCCTTTTGCTCTTATTCTAAATTTTTAGGACATGGGTCCAAAGTTAGTGTGTTATGCTACAATGGATCAGAGCATTAAAACTGGGGCTGCCCCTGATAATCTTGGACATACTCCTACTAGACTTATAATCTCATTAGCTTAACAATAAAAACATGAATAAAGCAGAATCGAATGTGTTCTCTGATTCTAACAAAAATTAAATAATAGTCAGTTTTTGGTAGAAAAATGCCATAGCCGTAAATAGAAATATTAAGTTGCTGTTTGCTGTCTTCACATTTTGTTTGAAATGAAAAACCTGACAGTGTCTGTGAGAAATATGCTTTGGATTATCTATGAAAACAGGAACCAGCAAGACATTTAGCATTATAAATAAGATTTTGGATGATAGATTTAAGTGTACAAACTGTTTTTGAACCCATTAGTAATATCTATTACGTGGGAATATTAAGAAATCTAATTACAAATCATCCTAGTCTAGACATTGCCAAATGATTATGGTCATCTAAGTCACCTGGGAGTTTTGAAAATATAGATTCTGGGGACCCACCCTTGGGTACTCTGATTTGAGAGGTTGGTTGTACAGGAGCTTGTACACTTAGTGAGTTGTTTAATAAGTATTTAATCTCCTTTTTTTTTTAAAAAAGGAGATTCTAATTAAGAGATTTGGTGAGATGTGTGTTATTTCATATGTTTGATTGCAAATGGTACTGCATATTTAATTCATACATTGGCTATTTTATTTGGCCTTTACCACACCTCCTGTTAACTTGCCACTCCAATTAACTAGGGTTCATGAAATCTTGGGGACTATGCGTTTTCTCATTGGAGTGTTTTCTTGCTTCTTTCCCCCTCTCTGTGAGAACAGTGCAGGCTCACTCCCCTTGCCTTGAACATATTTAATGAAACATTTTATTCTGAGGTAGGAAATATGTGAACTGCTTATCATACTCCTTTCAGTAATATTAACCACATGTAATTTTCTTTCAAATGGCTGCACTGAAGCCTAGAGAGAGGCTTACTTGACCTGGCCAGGGTTATTTAAGTGTTAATGGAATGGCAGAATATGATCTTTGAGTCACAACTTCCATCTTGCTTTAATTACTTCACCACTCCTTTTCATGACTGCTACGGCTCTAGATGTAGCCTGTTCCATAGTGTTTGGATATTGAAATAGTATTATCAAATGTGCAACGACAGATTTGCATAATTCGCTGCATAATTTCTTTTGTTGTTCATAGAAAATGGACCTCTCTTTTTTCCCTTCCTTTGTGAATGTCTACAGTGCTACTCTAGAATAATAGAATGAAAATAAGATGCCAAGCAGTCCATGGAACCATACTCAGAGAAGGAAGAAATGTGAAAACAGGGGTGAGGAGGTGGGCCTGGGAAGGTCTGGGGAGGGTGTGAGAAATATAGAGTATCTGCACCACTGAGTCAAGATGGCCATATGTTTAAGGCCTCAGCTCTAGGATTAATTAGCAGTTTTCAAAAAGCAAAAGCAAAAGCAAAAACAAACAAACAACAACAACGTTTCCCAAGGAAAGCATAAGGGGTTTATGGTCAGGTAAGTTTGGGAATCCTTTATTTCAATTCCTCCCCTTCCCATTCCTGATGATTCACAATGCACGTTTAATTTAAATGTGTAACAACTCTCAGAAGTCCTGCAAAGAAAACAAGAAACCCAGTTTCCTATTTCTAAGATTTATATTACCAGCGGTGCCTTTTTCCATGTAATGCTTTCATATCTAAGGTTGCATGGAATACACTTTGAGAAACAATTCTCTGAGTACATATATGGTAGGGTAAATAAAAATATGACTCTCAAGCTGAGCACTGTGGTGCATGTCTGCAATCCCAACACTTTGGGAGCCTGAGGCGGGCAAGATGACTTGAGCTCAGGAGTTCGAGGCCAGCCTGGCCTACATGGCAAAACCCCATTTCTGCAAAAACTACAAAAAATTATGCTGTGTATGGTGGCATGCGCCTGTAGTCCCAGGTACTCATGAGGCTGAGCCTGGAAAGTCGAGAATGCAGTGAGCCTTGATCTTGCCGCTACGCTCCAGCCAGGGAGAGAGAGTGTGGCATTGTCTCCACACACACACAAAAAGACTCTCAGTAAAATGGGATGAATAAGGTTAATAACATCTCTTTTGATGTGCCCACCCACAGCACAATTGAGGACAATTCGTACAGATTATATAGTTATGCGAATTTTATTTTACTCCTATTTTCTTTCAAATAGCTGCACTGAAGCCTAGAGAGAGGCTTACTGGACCTGGCCGGGGTTATTAAAATAAAATTCCCCGTGTTGGGGGAAGGGTAGGTCGTTAAAAGACAAATACGATGCCATCATTTCAAGGTAGTATGATCAGTAACATAACTGGGTGAGTAACTTGAAATAAAGCTTATAAAAAGGCTCATTAGAAAAGTGGCTTTTAAACACACAGACTGAATTAAAAACATTTTTTCTCTCAAATTCATCCAGATTAGTGCTTTAAATGGTATTAGTAATCCAATGTTTATTTTCAATTTTTGAGTGAGAAATAGTTGTATCACCCTATTTTTAAATAATTTAGTCAAATACACAAAAAGACTAAATATTTTAAATACCACTGGAGCCCTAGTCTACCTCTTCAATCTCAGCATTTATGATAATCTACTGGAAAAAAACCTGTGTACTTAAATATAGTAAGTACCTTGTTCTTGTCAGTATGATTTACATGTATGTAAGGTTTACTCCTTTTTTCCCTCAACACATTAGATTTCCCATGTTGTTAGTGAATTGAGGCTTAGCAATTTGCAGAGCATTTTCTGCAATTTTTACGCATTTCTCAGAAACACTTGGTAAATATCCCCAGTGCTTGCTGTGGAATGAGCCCAGAAGGTGATGCTAGGACTTTGCACCAGGTACTAATGTGGGAAGTCCACAGAGGCTGCCTGCTCAGTGTTTTCATGTATCTCGCCTTTGGTAGTAGTGTAAGGCGCACACCATCTTGTCCAATGTACTGCTATTTGGCATGTTTATCTTTGGTCACAAGAAAAGCATTGGTGAGGGGTTTTATGAGCACATATCATGACCCTCCATATACGGTAATCCAATTGTGCATAGTCAGAACTCTCAATTTTGAGACAATGTAAGTAATCTTCAAAACAATATAAAGTTCATTAACTCATTCCATGCTGGAAATGGATTAATTTCCGTATTCTAATTCCATCTATTCAAGAGACATATTCTGGAGGGTCATACATTATTAGCTTGATTATTTCACTTCACCTGAGCTACATCTTGGTCACATCTCTAACGTGTGCAGAGTAGCAATTCTACCCTGAGCCGCATGATAATGCAGCGAGTTCAGGATGATACAAAATTCATTTCTCCCAGGTTGTTTCTGTTGGAAGAGTCAGTCATCCCCTTTGTTTTAAAGTCCACAAATTATTGTTTAAAAGATATTGCCAGTTAAAAAACAAGTTATTTAAATATTTGAGGTGAAACCTTCCCACTAGACTCTGATTCTAAGTAATTAAATTTAAAATGACAAATGAAAGCAAGAGAAGTTTGCTTAGCAGTGAAAGAGAATAGGTCTTTCTTGTATTTTGGGGGTGAGGCAACAGAGAATTGAGGATGGTCATTGTAATGCCCATTTTTGGAAGGTTGGGAATAAAAGTGTATGGAGGGGAGGAAAAATGGCCACTAACCAGAAACCACCCAGTACCTGGGAGCCACCATCTGGAACACTGATTTATGGTTGGCTTTATCTTATCTTGAAATAAAGCAATTGGATGAAAAGGGTGAATTCAAGTTTGGGGGCTAACCTCTAGCCATTTCTTCAATTTTTCTCCCTTTCTAGTTTGAAAAATATAGCATTCTGGAATTCTCTACAGTTGAATTTGTTAAGCAGAGGTGAACTTGGCAACAGAGCTGAAGTCAAATAGAATAGCCACAACTTTGAAATGCTTGTGGCCTGACCCATCAAGTTTCTAGTCTTATAGGATGCATTTACTCTTAAAAAATGAATGTCAGTGAGCTAATGCTCTGGTACAAATAAGGTCAAGCTACTAAATAGCCCTCGATTCACAGAGGGTCAAGAACTATGCCTCTCAAGAACTACATAAGGAAATAAAAAACAATTTAAGACAAGCAGAACCTTCTTCTTCACTGATGGTCGCACCAGCTAGTTTGCACTTGTCCACACATTCTTCTCGGGCTTGGCCAGCTGCTGACAGGTGGCACTCAATGCAGCTCCTGTGGACAGTATCCAACAGTGTATCAGTTCATGCTGGTGGAAAATAGATTTGCAGCTTGAATATTGCTTTACTGCTGTTGTTGCAGTTTGTGCTATAGGGGTATCTCATAGATGTCATTATCTTTTGTTATTTGCAAAAAGATAGTTGGGTAATGCCCAAGTGAACACTGAATTATTCTGAGTTCCACTCAGTAATCAATGTTCTCTGAACCAGTCTTGATAATAGCTACTATTTTCATTTACCTGTAATGATTGTTCCTGATTGGTTAAGTAAACAAACAATCAAAGAAGATAAATTGATTTAGCTGTTTTCATTTTACTTTTTCCTACAGAGAGCTTATGTTCCTAAAATATGATTAGGGACTAGGAGAAGTTTTGAATTTCTTAACAGAAATGGTCTATACCTTAACCAGAATTCCAAGAATGATTAGTGGACTTTGTATATGTCTTATACGATAATTTTCACAATTCACTTTTCTGTATCTCTTTTGAATAAGTCTAAGTCTTAATGAAAGTGCGGATTAGAGCCTGGATCTCAAAAGCTGTGGATTACAGCCTGGATCCTCATTAATACAGGCTTTTAAATAAAAGATCACTATTTATAGAAAAGTACATTTCCAAGAACATCGTCCAAGAATTAAGCTACTCTAAAGACATCTATAGAGCAAAGTAAAATTTAGACCCTGAATTAATCTTGTGCTGAAAATCACTTTACAAATAGATTGTGCTTGTTGTAATTCAAAAACAGCAAAAGTTTTCTTACTGTGGACACACCTGCTGTCTGTCTCTCCTCTGGCCATGGAAATGTATGCTCTGCTAAGTGCTTGAAACACCCAACCCGCACCCATAACTCAGCAAATCTCAGCTGAAACTGCACTTCCTTAGGCAAACCTTCACTAAACCTTAGACCAATCAGTTCCCTCACAGTGGAAGTCTCAGGATTTTTCCACAGGAAGGGCAACCTATTAGGCAGTGGGGAAGGTTTTACTGTGAAGTTGCCTTGGCATTGCAAATACATTGGATTTATCTAGATCGCATATTTATTTGGAGTGGCTTTGAAGGGGTCTGGTGAGTGTGGAAACTCTTAAAATCTCTTCATCTTTGTGCATCTCACTGATGGCTGCACTAGCTAGTCTGGTAGCCTTATCCCCTGCTGCAGAGTTCCATAGCACTCTCTATTTCCCCTATTAAAACTGTCAGCCTAGGTAGCATCGCAATCACTTTAAAAGATGTCTATCTTTCCCACTAGACTCCCAGCACCTGTGAAGGCAGGGGCTCTAGCTGTTTCAGTCATCATTGCATTGCCCATGATGTAACACGATTCTTGGCATATAGTAGGCACTTAATACCTACTTGATAATGAATACATGCATGAATAAATGGAAAAATGGACTCATCTCCAAACTAACAGAAATCCCAAGGAGGTCACTCTACCTGATTCCCCAAATTCAAATGGCTTTTATTATTAATTTCCTATCTTGTAATTCAGATTTAAGATTGAATCATGTTTATAGAGAAGATGAAACAGAAAAGTAATAGAAGAAACATCTTGAAGGGACATTTTACATTAGATCCTATTCAAATCATCCTAATCATGTCCTCATGCTTCTCCTGGCATGCATCTTGTCTTAGTTTGCCAGTGACAGTGGCAGAGAAGTTTTGACACCTGAATGGTGAGTAACCACTGAGTGAAAAATTGCTTTTCTCACTCTGTTTATGTCAGAAATGCAAATGTCACCATTTTGGGCATCAGAGTTCATGAAAATCTGAAATGCTGAAGCATATTTGCTGCATAATACATTATCCACTGCAATATCATAATAGCCATTTTGGAGGCTCGCTTCACTTGACCTACAAATGTGGCCCCAATTTCATTAAGAAATTGTGAGGTTTTATTGTTGTTATTGTGCATGTGGTATAAAAGAAAACACAATACACAATAGCTGTGTATAACGGCAACCAAAGAAAGGTGTCAAAGAGCATGGGTGGTAAAGAAGCAGGAGAGAATTGAAAGCTAAGATCATCTTTCTGCCTCTTTGTCTCTGTCAGTCTATAGATAGGAATGAATCAGTAAGGTCAGGCTATAAACTTCCAGATAAGAAAGAAGCTTGTCTGTTTCCCCTGAAAAGCTACTGACTGCATGTGGGTGTCATCCGTCTACCTCCAGGGCATTCCTTCTGTGTGGCTGCTATTGTAATGGAGAGGTGATCTGATATTATCAGTGTGGGACATCAGCTCAGTTTCCCCATGCTACTCTCTAGCAGAATGTGACATCGTGATTCTGGATAACCAGGACTGAGAAAGAGGTAAGCTAGAGACTGATGTTCCAGGCTGAAGATCACAGAGGCCCTGCGGGTTTGTGTGTGTTTTGATGGATGTTTGGAGACCAAACCAGCAAATGCAATCTGAGGTCTGAGTTTACAAAATGCCATTGTAAATTTGATCACTATAAACCTATCCACAAAAGGAATGGACGAAAGCAGAGACATTACCGTTTAGAGTTACAGGGGTCACCACAGGTAGGACATCGTTCACAGGTTGGTCCTGAGGCTCCCGGGTTTGCGCAAACACACTTGCCACAAACGCAGTCCCCGCGCCCGCTGCAGAGAACTCCGTCTTCAGAGACACAGGAGTCCGTGCTGGTGGTGCAGTTGCAGTACTCGCCAGTCCAGCCGCTCCTGCATACACACTCACCACAGTCACAGTCGCCGTTGTCTGTAAAACAAAATGCTCTATGCTTCTCACAGCCCAAAACACTTGCAGATTTGAGGGGGTGAGGGGCATCTTTTCTCTTTGCCTTTAAGCACCATCATTGAAAGACAAGAAAAAAATGAGAAAAAAAGTGTGTGTGTTGGAGGGGTGCAGTATGAGTGTAGATACATTCTATCAAATGTGTCTTGCTAATTGTGCATACTTAGATCTGGTCTCGCTAACTGAAGATCCACTTGCTTACTTTATGGTTGTAAACCATAAATAAAAATATAAGCTCCTCAGCCAATTGAATGGACCCCTCCTCTCAGCCAACGGCATTCTAAAATAAACCTGAAACACTAGTCCAGGACGTGATGAGAGTGGGTGGTCCGACATGCCTTATTATACCCTCCTCCCTTTGGAATTCAGGCACAACTGACCAGCATTAACAAAAAAACAGAAACCTTAAGACTGACAAAGTAGACTTTTTGTAGCAATAAGATACCAACATAATAGATAGCAAGTCCTGAAAGTAATCAAAGTATTTCACCCCAAAATATATTTATTTGACATATTTTGAAATGGCTTGACCAAGTTGTCTCTTGTGGGAAACATCTACATTCTACAGAGAATCCCCTTTTCTTTCCAGATTTTCTTCCTGATCCAAGAGAGAATTAACTAAGAATCTGGAACCTTTTTTAAGTCTTCTAGGAAATGTTTGCAATCTGTTCTCTCTGAAGCCTGCTACCTGCATAATACGAACCCTGTTCTCCACAACCCCTTATCTTAACCCAGGTACTCCCTTCTATTGATTCCAGGTCTTTAGATAAACTCTTTCAGCCAATCACCAACCACTATGACCTGAGAGCCCTGCCAACCCCCTTTGAGTTGTCCCACCTTTCTGAACAGAACCAATGTACATCTTACATGTATTGATTGATGTCTTATGTCTCCCTAAAATGCATAAAACCAAGCTGTGCCCTGACCACCTCAGGCACAGGTCCTTAGGATCTCCTGTGGCTGCGTCACGGGCCATGGTCACTCATATTTGGCTCAGAATAAATCTCTTCAAATATTTTATAGTTTGACTCTTTTCATCCACATATTACATGAAATAGAATTTGTAATCAGACCAAATGAGGTAATCCAGAAAGCCTGTAAAAGATATTTGATGTGAATGTGTGTCTCTATGCATATTTATTTATTTTTATTTTTTGCTTTTAGTTAAGATGCCATAGGATAATGATGCAAGACAGACCTGGATTAAAGCCCACCCCTCTATATCACTCAAGTTGTGTGATCATGAGCGTCTCATCTATAAAACAGATGAAATAAAGTCTACTTTCAATGCTTGTGACTGGATGAGATAATGTATATATCTCCTAATTTTCCATTCACCAGTTAGAAATCCCATAGGCATACACTGAGTGCTCAAAAAATTCACTACTTAACACACTTTAATTGAGCATATACTATGTGCCAAAGATTGTATTAGGTATGAGGATATAAAATTAAATAAGACAAGGTCATCAAACTTATAATTTAGTGTAGGAGGCAGGCTAACGAATACTACTACTAATAAATATACATAGGGGAATAGTTTCCAAATTAGACTGGAGATTTGAGGGTTCCAAAGGAAGTGATGCTTGAGCTGAATTTGAAAGATACAGGTAGACAATACAAAAAAAAAAGGTTCTATGCATTTCAGGAATGCATGTGGGATCATTCGACCTGCTTAACACCCACAGAACTTTCCTATGGATAGAGCCAAAGGTGCATAGGGAGTGTGGCAAGTGGGGAAATGGAAAGGACAACAAAAAGTCAGAAGTCAGACCATGAAAAGCCTTATTGGCTAAAGGAAGAGCTTCTATCCTGAAAGTTTTGTCTAGACATTTTTTAGCATCAGTAAACAGGTCAAGCTACAGATAGAAAAATCGGGAGTAGAGGCAAGAAGATATGAGACCATGAACCAAGGCAGTGCCCATGGGAGCAGCGAGGAAAGAATATATATTCGGGCATGGAATGCTCAGGGTGTGGGTGCGATTGGTGCCAGGTGGAGGGTTGAGGGAAGAGACAGAGGGATGGTATTCTCCCCAGGTGACTAGACTGAGTGGCTAGATGGATGACGGGGCTTTTCACTGAACTGGAGTGGAAGCTAGTTCATGGTCACTGCTGTATCACCAATACCTGGCACAGAGTAGAACCTAATTATTGAAGCAGAGGAGGAGAAGCAGCTTTGGGTGGGGAAGATGATGAGTTCACTTTTGGCCCTGAGGAGCTCAAGGGGCCTGTGGGACATCCCAGGAGGAGGTTGAATATATATATGGGCCTGAAGTTTGGGGTTTGGGATCTATTAGGGAAAGGTGGTAGTTGAAGTTTTCACGGATCAGGTCATCTAGGGCAAGTAGGCAGAGTGAGAAGAACTCTGGAGAGCTTCAGGACTTAAAATGTGATCAGAAAAAAAGGATCCCTACAGAAGAGACCGAGAGGTAGGAGGGGAACAGAAGTGATGTTGCAGAGGCATGGGGCAGAGACTGTTAAAGAGGGAGGTACCTGGACACTTTTGCTGTAGACAAGTAACCCACCTAATCCTAAAGAGCCCCTTTGGATATGGCCACTTAATGATGTATGAAGTACTTCAAAAATGATTTTAAAAGTGTTTAAAATAATGGACTTGTGTGTTATTTCCATAATATTATTCTGGGTGCCTACCATGCGTAAGACACTAACATAGGTGTTGGATATTCCAGACAAATAACATTTATTTGCAAACTCTTGTAACTGATACTTTTCTTGAAAGAAAGAAAGAAATGTGCATTAGGCATTTTGCCTCATAAGTTTTGCTCTTCCAGCAAAATTTAGGATTACCTAAGGCAGTATATAACAGTGTTTAGAACGGTACCTGACCCATAAATAAGCACTGTACAAGTGTTAGTTACTGGCATTATTTCTGAAAACTATCCAGTAGGAAGAATTTGTAAACAAAATTATCTATCAGTATTAAAATTCCTATACCTTTACTGAAAACAAAGTGGATGTAGAAAAAAAATCACAAGTGAAACAGGATTCTACTTGTAGGAGACACTGCCAAGTTCACTGTAGGAGGAAGAATTGTGGACTTTCTCTTGTAAACTTTGGTCTAGCAAGTGGCTTACTTTTCTATCTTGATGACTGGGCTCTAAGGAACTTGGAGCAGGAGAGTCCTGGGCTTAATTCTTTGGTCAAAAATCACCAAACAAAGATGATAGCCACAAAGATTTTGAAGTTGGATTCTGATTTCTCTAGGTATGTGTGTGCATATATGTATATATACATGTATGTATATATGTATATGTGTGCATACACACACACACACAGTCATGTGTCTTTTAACAATGGGAATATGTAACGAGAAATGCATCATTAGGTGATTTCATCGTTGTGTAAACATCATAAAGTATACTTACACAAACTTAGATGGTAAACCTACCGCACACCTAGGTTATATGGTATAGCCTATTGCTCCTAGGCTATAAACCTATACAATATGTTACTGTACTGGATACTGGGGGCAATTGTAACACCATGGTGAGCATTTGTGTATCTAGACGTAGAAAAGGTACAGTAAAAATACAGTATTATAAAATTATGGGACAACGATCGTATATGTGCTGTGTTGTTGACAAAATCATTATGTGGTGGATGACTAATGTGTATATACATATATATTCTCTTTCTCTATATATTCTCTATATACTCTCTATATATACACATACATGCATGTATGTATAGATGCTTCTGGGCTTGTGATAGGATTATGTCTGGATAAACTCATTGTAAAATGTAAAATAATGGGCTTATCCAGACATAACATCACTGTAAGTCGAGCAACATACTAAATTTATATCACTTTCACACCATCTTAAAGTGTGTGTTTGTGTGCGTTGTCTAATGAAAGATGAGTTGAAATTTACCTGGATTCATGATATTAAGATATATTTCAACTGCATTTCATAACCTATGCAATTTATAGTTGACATAATTAATTCAAAGCAAAGAATAATTAAATGATTTGGGACAAAGGCATTAATTTCATTTTTACCTGTAAATGATCTTCTAAACTACAATATCTTTTTGTTTCTTCCTCAACAAAAGGGGAAACTTACTTTTATAACAGGAAGAAATTCCATATTACAGTTGATTCTGGAAAATTAATATGATTTACAAATATTATTAAATAAAAGATGCATTTCCAAATGCTTTGAGAATGCTCAAGTATATTATTGCATGTAGGAAGTACTTGGCAGAAATTTAGAAAATTCTTCTTGGAGCAGTAGAAAAGGACCATCACGGCAAAAACATGGCGCTCCTTTCAGAATTTAGAAGCCCTCCTCTGTGCTGGCCTTCCAGAGCCACTGACCTGGTTTCCAAAGTTGCTAATCGATATCCTCAAACAACCAATTATCTAGAGTACTGGTTCATACAACAACAACAACAACAGCAACAACAACAACAACAACAAAACTTCCCTATTGGTTTCATGGAGGGACAAAATGATAACCAAAGATCAAGAAAAAATCACCATGGTATTTCAGAGGGATGAATCTTTCTGGAATGCCATTGACAGTAACTGTAAGCGCATAATGGCAGCAAGTGTTTCTCTAATGCCATTTGCCTGTTAGTTTCCATCTCTTAGAATCAAAATACAGGAGACTAATGGAATTTGGGCAAGAAAAAAAATCAATGGAGCTCTGTATCTTTGAGTGCTTACAGATGGATGAAAGAAGCTGTATGAAAAAGAACATTTCGATAATAGCTCTTCAGAAAAGTGGCACATTGCTGAGTATATTAGTTATAAACTGGAGATCCACACAAGTGGTGAGCTGTAGCATGTTTGATCCTCAGTTGCACATAAAACTACAGCAGCAGTAGCGTGTCTATTCCAATGCCAGGCACAATTTTTGTCCCTGCACTAAGCACAATGCCAGGCACATAGTAGGTACTCCATAACCATTTGTTAACCATTTGTTATAATTGCCTTTACTTTCATTATACCTTTTGAAAGAAAAGTTACTAATTATAGAGCAACATCCTTTGTGATGTTACTAAAAACCAAAATAGCTTTTGAGAAACAGGAATGGCTGAAGGAAATTGGCATTGGTGAAGTTTTCTGAATCTAGCTAAATAAATCGTATTTTCTAAATAGAATCTCTGTAGCAATCACTGTATCTGACTCAAAGAGAGGCACTGTTGTCAGACCTTCCTAGCTACAATCCACAGATCAAGTCAACTCTTTTTTAGTTTATTTCTGTTCCTCATGCATGGTACAAAATAAAGTGAAAGACCATCAAGGAAAGCTCTGCTGCTAAACACAGTTCAGAATTTTATACTGCCTTAGATCTCTTTGATCCAAGATTTAAAGGGTGAAATATAGGTCGTGTTAGTATCTCTATTATATTTTGTTAGATTACACTTACGGCTTTTTGAAAGGTAATTTCAAGTGTTTTGAACACGTATTTTATTACAAGATTTCTATTAGACATGCAGTATGGGATTCTGCCCAATATATCCTCTCTGTGATGTGGTGACGGCCTTTGGCTGGCTTCTTGTCACCTTCAGATTGTGCCCCATCTGCATCATGTGAAAAGAGGACTGATGTGGGTTTGGAAACATACCTATTAAACCAGGAAATCAACCTTTGGATGAAAAGGGAGAGAAACGTGTCTCGATCAGAACAGACCATACATTTTTCACTCTCTGGAGGGAAAAAAGCATATATTCTCAGAAGAACTTATTGGTTGCAACAGCAGCAGCAAAGAAATGAAAGGTAGGTACACTTCTAAGGGTATCAAATGGTTTTCAGAAAGCTTGGAATTCTTTGATGCTTCTTTCTTTCAGGTCTTTTTTCCCCCCCCAAATTAGTCTTTTTTATATGTTCCTAACACTGTCTTTTAAAAACATAACTTGCTTAGTTTTCTATAAAGCTAATGGCTTTCTGATTTGAATAGCTGTCTGCTTACATAGTGTGAAGAACAGAGACACTGAAGCTTAAATTCAGCATTCAGTTAATATTTCAATCTATAAGACAAATTTATATTGTTGAAGAGTATATTAACATATTTGTAATTCTTTTCTGAATAGATTACACATATATATGTGTATATATATAAAAGAATGATTTTATAATAGTCATATGCAATATATCCTTAAACTATAGTGATTTTACATCTACATAGGATATTAAAACATACATATTTCTATTTTAAATTTTTCTCAAAGTTCTCAAGATATTCCAAGTAATTTTCCATCCTTGTCCTTCCTGCAGCCTTTTCACATATGCACTTACTCATCTTTCTTATGCCCAGTGCCTAACCTAGTATGTGTCACATAGTAGGTGTTTAATAAATATTTGTGGAATGAGTGAAGGCCCTGAAAGCCCATTTAATATATTTTTGTGCTCTTTATCCTTGGTAGCATGCTCATTTAGCAGTCTATCTAGTTTTCACTTTTCCAAAGTCATATACATTTAAAAGGTAACAGTCAGACACAGCAGCTTGGTCCAGAAACACCTGGAAGGCAATGGAGTTCCTACTATAGGCACTTGTGTAGAGTCCGGGTTACAGCCAGAGAGAAGGCACTTTTATCTTTCATCTACGCTTAGGGAAACAAAATAGACATAAGCTCAGTTGGCAGAAATCTCACCCCAAGTGAATGTTAGAGCCAGAAAACCTACAAGAGAAGATTCAGTTACCCGTGGTCTAAGGCTGATCAGCAAATATTTATTGAGCACCTACTATGCCCAGGAAACTGTGGAAGGTGCAGAGGATGCCAACCCCCTTGCTGATACTTGAGCAGCCACAGGGTAAGATGAATTTCGACATAGCCTACCTCCGCAGAGCAGCCCTTTGTGTCTCACGCAGGAGAAATTGTCACACTGGCAATAAGGCCCATAGATGTTTCCATAGGGAGACAAGTGGCAGATACACTGCCCACAGTAGCAGTCACCCCTTCCACTGCAGGAGGGATGATCTGGGGCCTCCTTGCAGGAATCTGTGCTCAGCATGTCCTCGCCACACTCACAGTGAGGCCCCATGTGGCCAGGATGGCAGGCACACACCCCACACTGGAAGGAGCCGTTCCCGTGGTGACACTTGGAGCTGTTCACTTCCACTTCTTTCTGACAGTCGCAGTTGCATTCTGGACTGACAAGTAATTCCAGGGCGTCCCCCAGCCCCACAGGCTTTATGATAATGTGCCTGCTTCTTCTCTCACAGTTTGGGATATTCACAGTCACGTTGAAGGAAGCCTGGAAAAGAAAATACTAATTATCTCCCTCCATCCACCAAAATGCATGAGGTGAAACAAGGCTTCACGGAAATCAGCTTTGCCAAAAGCATTTACTAGAAAATCTTTGAAAATTGCTTTTAAAATTCTTGAAAGAAATCCAACTTCAGTGAGCTCAGCTAACTTCTGACCCATCCAGGTATTTATTCAGACGATCTATTGGACAGCTACTTACTGTGTCTCCCACTTTCATGTGAGAGCATTTCTTTTGGTGTTGGAAGAATGTACCGTTGTTACAGATGGCTGTAAATGACAAGTTGAGTCCTTCAGTGTCTCCTAATACTTCCAGTTCCACCTCAGACCGCAGTTCCTTTAGTTACAATATAAAGAGTTCAGTGAAGTCACAACCCCAAAAATATAGCCAGAAGAAGAAACTGAATCATGTTCATTGAACTACAAATGAATAAAACTAAATTGGGTGTCAAAAGAAATTCAGAATATTACCAATCAAAAGCAAAAAAGTGAGCAATCATATATACATTTTATATATTATCAAATCTAAGGTGCCAACAATTATAAGATACACCATTATCTTACGACATTAAACTATGACAAAATACCTCAAGATGGTTCTGCACAACATATGAATCAGTCCTATCCATCTACCATTGCTTTGAAAATTATTTTATCCATTCTGAAGGATTTGGCAAATTCTCCTGCCCTGAGTTGCGCAGATTGGCATATAAAAGGCAATTCTTTTGCTTATATCTCAGTAACAAAATTTAACAACAGCTTCCTTTATGTGTATCATGATTTCTTAGCTCCCGTAAACCAGCTGTTTGTTGCTTTGCAAAGAATCCAGAATTGAAGTCATTCCTCCACCAATGAATATTTGCTTCATTGATATCAAATTTACACCCTGCTGCTCTGTTTTGGTGCATTTCTGCATACATAATAAACTTTTCATTTCAATATCGAATCATAGTACACACTTTTAAAGATATGTTAAAACAGCAATTAAACTTAATACTTAAGTAGCAACAATGCCTTTAACTAATTGAAGTGAGTACAATCACAATTGTCCATGAAAACTACATCATGACTGCTGCCTGGCACCACGATGGTGATTGTAACTCACCATCAGTTGTAAGATGGAGCTCAATTTTAGAGACGTTAAAATGTGGGGGGAAACTGTGCCTTAAAATCAATATTGGAATGTATTTAGTACCTATTGCACATTTGGTATAGAGTTAGGTCTAGAGAATACTGTAAGAAAGCTTTCTGCCGTCAAGAAGTTTATTATCTTACTTTTTTTATTCCTTGTTCACTTACAAAACAAAAGTCTGTATTGTAGGTGAAGCAAACCAAATTATGAAAAATAAAACAGAATAAAACCAATTTTAAAATACTATAAATAAATTTATGCTTCAGTTAATCCAAAAGTTTTAAGTCCACATATCCATTTTCTTGTTGGCATTTAAAAAGCATATTCAGCTTCAAATTTCCCTTAAGTGTAATTTTTAAAAATTTGTTTTATTTTAAATTTGTGTGGGTATGTAATAGGTGTATATATTTATGGAGAAATGAGATGCTTTGATACCTTATGTGTAATTTCACCAAATGTATAGTAAAATGACCCTGCCTTCCTCCAAAATCTGCTTATGCAGAAATAATAAGATTAAAATAGAAGCAATGTTGGAGATAAAGTCGGGAGCTAAATAAAAGTTAAGGGATATGAGCTAGAAGACTGTGACAGCAATTATAAGGACTAGTGGATGACATGATCTGATCTAAGTAAAGGAAATTTCAGCATTACTATAATTTAACAGCATATTGCAAATTTGATGAGGAATATTTTAGTCTGAATTTCCCAAAGAAAGGACATAAATGCTTATTTGTAGTTTTCATCGTTTCATTCATTCATTTTTTGAGCATCTCTTATGAACCAAGAAATACAAAAGAAACCAAGTCAATTCCCTCCTGGGATTTAAACACCAGCAGAGGAACTTATCCTTGGGATTGCTGATATTTTGGTAGCCTTTATTATACGATTAGGGAAGAAAGGACATTAGTGAATGATGATCAGATAAGTACACATTGGTATTTAAGTTTTTTAAAATATCAATATGGCACTGTAAAATACTAAGCTGAAGTTTGTAGCCACAAAGTTATAAACACAAATTGTCTACCTCTGCCCTAGTAGAGGTCCCTCAGAAGCATTTTACGTTTTTTTTCAAAGTATTCTCTTTCCTTCTCTCTCTTTTTATAGACTAGAAAGAAATTCAGCCTATGGGTCCTCATATTTTTAAATTCTTTTTAGTATACATTTAAAAATAACAGTAGAAAAATAATTTGAACTAGTGCCGGGATCCATTACAGACTTTGCCTTGTGAATCATAAAGTTCCAATAATAACTCCAGTGCAAGATGGTTTCATTTAAGAATAATAGACACTTCTTAGTATTTCTGAGATAGTAAAACAAGGACAGAAGACTTAACTCAAATGTTTAATGTTTTGATTTCAACTATCCTGTAAGTTACGTAAGTATTTGAGATCATAAAGTGAGCCGTAACCTCTGGCAGAGCAAGCAGAGGCATGGGGGCTGCCCTCACTGGAGGGGGAAATATTTTTGACAATTCAGTGTTTTCTAATATGCTTAGTTTCTCTGAAGATGTTAGTGGCCAACACTGTTGAGAGTATTGGATTCGAAAAAATGGAGTGCATTCTGATACAGTGAAGGATTGCTGTGTGATTTTATTTGATTCTACAAATTAAAACTTTAATTACTGCATGAGAGGGAGGAAGGTTTTTATAGCGTTTTGTGGACGAGCATTCCTGTCCGGAAGAATTTCAAGCATGAGCTAACGTGGTGATTAATTTGATGTGACCTAAGAAAACTGAAATTTCTGAGGCTATCAGTAAAACAAACCAAACCAAACCATCATCCTATAATTTTAATGGACACATCTGTATTTTTATTTTCTGAAGAAATGAAATACTTGAGAAGGGATATCTTGCTTTTCTTCCTTCAGGGTAGTTTCAAAATTGGTGGGCCAACGTCAAAATTATTGGAAACTTTTTTTTTCTTTCCAAAATATATAGCTCTCATTTCCCCTAAAGTCCTTCAAAGATGTCTGTGAGAGGAATCTGGATAGGCCTATTTTTAAAAACTTTCCTTGTTGATTCTGGTATGTCATTTTATTTAAGGAATGCTGGTTCAGTACACGCTAAATGTTGGCGTATATTACATATGGGCCTTTTTTTTTTTTTTTGTAATTTTAAAACATCAAAATTCAGGAGACTTGTTATTCACTTGTTCTTACATAGTTTCTGTTTACAGTAAATACTAGAGCTTTACTCCTTACTAAACATTTTCCTTTTTTTCATTCCTATCCTAATTTAGGGCTTCTTCTTTCTTTCTCTGCATGTGTATTTCTTTGTCAATAGAGGCAAAAAAAGGGGGGGATGATATTTAGGAACCAAAATTAAAAATAATTGACAACCGGCCATCCATTGTTGACTAACAGAGTTATGAAATGGAGACAAAGAATGAGAACATAACAACGCCATAGGTATATGTTCTAATTTTAAGGGAGGAATTCTGTCCTCAGGTACTAATTCCCAAAGTCAAAGCAAAACTTTACACACCTACTCATAAACCAGTGGAAAATGTCCCTAGTTCCCGAAAGTATAGAGACTAAAAAGTGGCATTCCTTGTGTACCGGTGTTTTGGTGCACAGCCAGCACTTGTATTTTTGCTTGAGTTATGACCTAGTATCATCAAGCTTGTGGAGTTAGCTCTCTACATCACTCTGTCACTCACTGGCAATTTAAACTTCATTTTTTTCAGACAGGGGAGAGCTTAATTGTATGACTCATGGAGGCTTTAAAATTTTGCTGGCAACAATGTTGCTGTTGCTTATTATTATAAAAACAACCTCAACTTTATGATCAGTTTTATGATTTTTCTATCTTCAGCTCCACCTTCCTGGAAGAAGATCAGCAAGCAAAATGAACAAAATTTATATTTTGATTGCATTCATGCAGAGACATTTTTTGGATAAGCACTCTCTCTACCAACAAGTAACTAACATTTAACTGCCTAAATCACATCTTAGTTTTTGAATACCAAAGAAATGCAAAAAAGATGCCAGCTCTAAAATATCCTACTTCATAAGCTGAGATGATCAGCTGGAGAATGTTTCCGGAGTCCTTCTGAAGTAGCCCTACTGTAGCTCCAGGAATAAGTTTTGCGTAATTCTGTAAACAGAAAAAGAGTAAGTCAATCTTTGTTTCCTCACGGTAATTGAGAAAAGTGTGGGTTTGAGCCTGCTGGCTATGATTGCCTCTATTTAACTGGCTGGGGAAAACAGGTTCGTGATAACAAACCTGCTTTTCTCCTGAGACCGTAGCCTTTACTTTGTGCTGCTTCCTGTGCTCAAGTGGAAAATGGACTGGACGGAGTGAGCACTGGGGAAATCTAGGGTCTGTGGTTGCCATGGTCGAGGGCTGTGATTGCCATGGTCTAGGGCTGTGATTTTTGTCTCCAGAGGAGTTAAGTCTTAAATAATAGTAACATTTATATAACGTCTTCCATTCGTGAAGCACCCTTTGTCCAAAACGTTCTCAGCACACAACCAGGAACTTCTCTTTTTGTAAAGTTGCAGAAACCAAGGTTTGGTGCACACAGGCAATGAGGGGAATCAGGTCGCTCTGTAAGTCATTCAGTTAAGAGGTCTTAAGGAGTAACCGCTTGGTGGAGAAAGAGAGTGAATTATTGGATGCTTGCACTGAGCTCTCCCTTCCTCTGGTAATGCGCTCCCTTTCAGGATGCTAGCACCGTGCTGAGCTTGGTTGGAATTGCTCCCACCACATCACCATGGAGTGAGTCAGAAACTAGTGCAGAAAGCACTCTTTACCTACAGTGTTTTTTCCTGAGGCGTCATTCCCACCTGAGAGCTAGCAATATGAGTTCATCATCACTCCAGGCATTGGGCATGGGCATGGAATGAGGCACAGCAAAGAAGGGAATTTTCCAGACAGCTGGAAATTTCCCCACCCTGGAGTTTTATGTTTTAAATTTTGTTGTTTTCAAATGAAAAGTTTTCTAAGGTGTGTGATACACGTACCTATCTTCTTAAACAAAGATTCCTCAAAATACTTTGGCTTTTTTCTTGAAGGAATGGAGTTACTACTTATCAATATTAACTATAGTTTTGCCAGGCATGCTGCCTCACGTCTGTAATCCCAGCACTTTGGGAGGTCAAGGCAGGCAGATCACTTGGGCTGAGGAGTTTGAGGCCAGCCTGGCCAACATGGTGAAACCCCATCTCTACTAAAAATACAAAAATTAGCTGGGTATGGTGGCACTCCTGTGGTCCCAGCTACTTGGAGGCTGAGGCAGGAGGATCACTTAAGCCCAGGAGGTTGAGGCTGCAGTGAGCTGATATGGTGCCACTGCACGCCAATCTGGGTGACAAAGTGAGACCCCATCTCAAAAAAAAAAAAAAATCATAATAAATTAAATAAACTGTGGTTCTATAATCATCAAAGGCTTTTGAAACCTCCAGAGAGGTCACACCCATATCAAGTGGACCCTAACTGTTACGTTGTTGCTCCTTATATGTGTTTTTAAATGATTTCTACCTTCTCCTTGGTGAGCTCTAAGGTCTTACTCACCTACTAATTTACTCATTTATCTATTTACTGTTGCATTCAACATCTGCTAAGTAGGTTTGCTATACTGTACTATGTAGACAACCACTCCTTCTGTCAGCTGTGGTCTTCTCAGTTGCTGTGTGCTATGAAATTGGATGACTGAATTTATTAAAATTGTACGTAGAAAAAAGTAAGTAAGCTTTGAGTGAAGGATTTAGGGTATCTCATATAGTTCAAACATAATGATATTCTATCTTATTTAAAGAAGATTTAAGTGTTTTAGAAAATGCAAAAAAAACTAAATTAGAATGGATAATTATCATTAATTATAATAGTGATACCAAGAAAATAAATGAGGACAAAAGGAACCAAGCAGAGGAACAAATGAAGCCAGGGCAACATTAGAACACAGAAAGCATGCAGGGTGTCCTGGGCACTTGCTATAAGTGGATCCTTGGGTGAGTCCACACTTTCTACACCTATTTGGAAAAATGGGCTTTGGTTTTGATTTGAGGGTTTGTAATGTTCTTCTTATTTCAGTGGTCATGATTGTGTTGAAGTTTGAAGTCAGTAGAAATCTAAATTCTTTTTTTGTTGTTGTTAATTTTTATTTTTAGAGACAGGGTCTCACTCTGTTGCCCAGGCTGGAGTGCAGTGAGTGGCCTGATAATAGCTCACTGTAGCCTTGAACTCCTAGGCTCAAGCAATGCTCTCACCTCCACCTTCCAAAGCGTTGGGATTACAGGTGTGAGCCACTGAGCCTGGCAAAATCTGAACTCTTAACAGTGTGAGATGCTGCTTTGCCTTGATGCTGTTTTATTATTGAGGAGGCTGTGGGCAGTAATCCAGGTAACATTCTTTACCTTACTCTGTGTCCCACATTACTGCCTGATGATGTAGGACCCCATTTTGTTTCCCTGAGTCAGGGAAAACTTGTAAAATACAAGGAAGGCACTGATTTACGGACTTAACCTTTTCAAATAAACACATGTCACAAAGGGCTGTGAAGCATGTGACATGTGGTTAACGGCGAATACCTACACAGGAACTTGAATTCCACTTAAGTGAAGCTGGAATGTGTGTAAATTTGACTGATCCCAGAAGACATGGCAGAGGGAACCTTTCGAGCTTGACGAAAAAAGGTGTAGGTCCCTTAGGAAAAGGATTTCAAGGCTCTTAGCTTTCTACAAAACTGCTATCCTTGAAAAACATCCTAAGAACCCCAACACTGAGGTGTCACAGATACATTCTGCAAGCACTAGTTCAAGTGGCCTCCAAATTTGTGGTTAATTCTTGGCTAACAAAGCCAAACCCATCCACTTCCTAAAGCATAATTATAATCCTGCATGTGGTATGACATTTGGCATTTGGCTATTAGGACAAGTGGTTAGCATTAATCGCTGACTGCCACTACAGTGACAATATAAAAGGGTTGGCAGCCAGTAGCAGTAACCAGTGGTGACACTGACAGTTGCACAGAGGAAAACTATTAATTTCTGGATGCTGAGTCCCCTCGAAAGCATTTCAAATCATTAACTAAAAATATGGACAATTTGGCTTCCTGCTCTAACACTGTCAAAAGTCATACTTTAAATATGGTAGTATTATGATTACTGTAAATATCATGTATCAAATGCCTTCCTTTCATTAAAGTCTTAACGCACTATTATAAATTGTTGTAATTAAACATGTTTAATGTTAGAAAAAGGATGATTTTGCATGCCTGGATGTGATGAATTATAGTATTTGTGACTCTAAAAGATGATGCCTGGATATTAGAAATGGTGAACACTGCAAACATGATGTTGCATGAGCTGATTAGAAATGCAAGCTCTGATGCTTGGGCCTGAATTCTCTATTATCTATCTGCAGATTATCCTAATTATGGATTTTCCTCGTCCTCCCTACCATACCACCCAGAAGTTCCTGAGGTTGCTTTTCTCACTCATTCTTTCTGATTACCTTAGTTTTCTTAACTTCCTTCTTCAAGCCCTATTTATCTCTTCACTCGGCCCCCATCTCCAAAAAGATTATGTGTGTATCTAACAGTCTGCGTTTGTTCCCTGGAAATCTCCTCTTTGTGGGAGAGAAAGGATAACAAACCAACAGAGAGCTACTTAGCAGGCAGGTGTGACACAGAGGAAATCACCTGCATTCCCACCTGCACATCCTGGGCTCCTCTCAGAGAGGGACTCCCAGTTTGGTGCCTCTCAGTGTCTGGCTGCCAGAACCAGCTGTCAGGTGTGCACTCCTGCTTGGCTCAGGGCAGAGGAACATGCGGTCACACACCTGCTGCCTGGTTAACTGTGGACAGGCTGTTGGTTGGCCTTCTCTTCAACAAGACTCGTGTTGAGGACCTTACAGAGCCTCTCTGGCTTTGGTGATATTCTGGCTTTCTGTCCTGCAGAAAAGGAAGCTCCTGATGTTACCCCTGTTCCTGCTCCAACTACACCTGCTGTGTGGTTAGCTCTTCAGAACCTGGATGTCTGCTGGGTCAATGTTTCGTATTAACTGTATCCTTGCTGGGCACCTTGATTTGGTTGCGCTTTGGACAGTGACTCTACTGGGCCCTTGTAGCCTAATCTTATGACATTTCTACTGTAGTCTCAGAGACCCCTCCCACCTCAGAGCTCAGTGGCCCTCATTTGATAGAGACCATGTGACACATGCCCCTCATTTGAGGGTGAGAAGTCACAAGTTAAGTGGTCACATATCAGCTAGCAGCAATTTTTTTCTTGCTTTTATTATTATTTTAATGGATGCATAATCAACTGTTCACATTTATGGGGTACAATATGATATTTTGATGCACATATACGATGTTTAATGATCAAATCTATCACATTTTAGTAAAGAATTTGTAAAACCAAATGCTCAGAGCAGCCGGCTGCTTCCCTTTAGACTCTGCTTGCTTAGCTCTCTTTATGAAGCCTCACTAATGTGTCACTAATATTACTTTATTTTATGCTCACAGCACTGTTTGTTTTCAATATTATATTATTAACCAACATCAGTGTTTCTAATCTGTAAATAGACTTACTATATGTATTCTACTGAAATACATTTACTAAAAGATTGGCTTGCATAGACTGAGAATATTTGATGTTATATACTCTGCTCACAAATTTCTCTTCTAATCTTTCTAAGTATTTTTTTCGTTACTTTTTATCTCTTTAGTTAGCAGCTCCTTGCGGTGCATTCTCTCTCTTTCTGTCTCTCTCTCTCCCCCTGTTTCTCTCTCTCTCTTTCTTTCTTATAAACTTTAATGGCAGCATAACATACAGATTGTGCCAGTAATAAGTATATAGTTCAAGAAATATTTAAAGAGTAAACAAGCAAATACCATCACCCAGAAAAATCAAGAAATAGAATATAAGCCGGGCTCAGTGGCTCATGCCTGTAATCCCAACACTTTGGGAGGCTGAGGTGGGTATATCATTCAAGCCCAGGAGTTCGAGACCAGCCAGGTAACACAGTGAGACCCCATCTCTACAAAAAATACAAAAATTAGCCTGGAATATTGGTGTGCACCTGCAGTCCCAGCTACTGGAAGGCTGAGGTGGGAAGATTGCTTGAGTCTGGGAGGTTGAGGCTGCAGCCAC